CAGAGAGAGACAGAGAGAGACAGAGAGAGATAGAGAGAAACAGAGAGAGAGAGAGAGAGGGAGACAGAGAGAGAGAGAGAGAGAGGGAGGCAGAGAGAGACAGAGAGAAAGAGAGAGACAGAGAGAGATAGAGAGAGAGACAGAGAGAGAGACAGAGAGAGAGAGAGAGAGAGAGAGAGACAGAGAGAGAGAGAGATAAAGAATGAGAGAGAAAGGAGACACTTTGGGAATGAAAATGCCTCGCAGATGAATTCTAGGGGGTTGATGAATGTCCCTGGTTCAATACTCCAGATGAATTTATGTGTGTTCCATTATGGGAGGGTGGGGATGAAACATGGAGATGGGAGAGATGGGATGGAGTGAGGGAGGGAGTGTGCTGGTGAGCTAGCCATGCAGAGCCCATTGCGAACGGGCCATCTGTAGAGATAAGTAAAGAAGTGATTACAACAGGCCCAGCTCAATTTCTGACAGTTGACGCTTGAGTGCCCCCGAAGAGCTGAATTGATTTAAATGAAGAAGCTATGAATATTTTAGAGCGTGTGGAACCTCCCTTTAACCTGAACAGTTTCGATCTCCCTCTCACCCCCCTGTGTGTGTGTGTGTGTGTGTGTGTATTAAACAGGACAGACACAGGGGAGACTGTAATTAATGATGGTGAGATTACGGTCCCTATGTCACAATGTCTGGAATCAGCTGCCTTTCTTTGAGCTCTGATGAATCAATGACACTGCCTTGGTCTTTTGTCTGCGCTGCTTTGCTCATCAAACAGGGCTTTGCAAAAGTACACCAGCCCTTGTTTGGGGATTTAGCGTCAAACCAAAACCGGTGTACGGTACACTTTGACTGATGCCTCCGGCTAATTCTCTCTACAAACAAGCTGGGGCCCCGTTGGTGGGCGATGGCGTGTGTTCACACACAAGGACTAAATATGCAGAATTTCTGACATACTCAAAACAGAATGACGCCGCAATTTTACAGCCCGAGGAAAGAAAAAGAGGTTGCCTGTCAGCTGTCACATTGTTTGTGTATTTAAAAGCTTGTTCTCTGGTTATGTTCAAGGTGATGGACCACACCTTACTGTAAAGAAAACGTGAAGTGAAATGTCGGGCTTGTTGTTTCTACCACTCCTTGTAAACGTCTTGGCCCAGTGATCCCTTTCTGAGGGCATCTCTTTTTAGTAAATGACAGATCACATTAAAAGGGGTCGAAACAACTTTGAAGGTTGGCAGCAAGGTGGTGTTTTAGGGAAGAAGTGATGGCAGATTGTGAAAGGCTGCCCTGCAGGGTTTTCCTGGGAGGGCGACAGCAACACCGCTGAACTTCCTTCACCTCTGTTCCATTACAAACATACCTCTATGACAAAATGTGTTACTGATGTGCACCTGAAGGTGAAAGCAGGCAGGTTTCTGTGGACATACTGATCTCTCTCGCTTCCAAATGTACACACACTCTCACTAAATCACTGTCACTGTTGGCTAAAAGGGGTTAGTTAGATGTGATGCAATAAGGAGCCTACATGACGCTACCTCTCCCCGGATGAACAGCTAGAGAGGACCTCGTCTCAATGCTGTCAATTTATCTTGCCAGTCTCATTAAGGTATGATAAACCCATCTTTATAAGGAAAGGCCTAATTTCTCATCAGCCTGTCCATGAAAGGTCGCAGTTGAATGGAGGGGAAAAAAGCAAGGAAATATAAGAATCAGGCACAAAAGCTGCAATTCAGGAGAACTGAAAACCAAGAGAACTGAACTGAGCTGAAGTCCAAAACCATAATTTTACTGGTTATTTAGGCAGCTTTACTGGGAAATGAGGGGTGGATTGATCAGGAGAATAGATTTGATACTTCATTTGATGACCTCTGCTCCAGCTGTTTACGTCAGGGGATTGTATATCCGACAGTACTCCAGCCAGATTCTCTTGTTCGGGCTTTTCCCAATTCTCAGCACACTCATGCCAAAAATAAGTCTGCATACACAAATAAATGGAGGAGGAAGTGATAGTCACAGTCCTTTCACAAGGCCATCACCAATTTACAGGCCTGCACAAAGTCTAAACACATCACAAACAGTTGTCCATGTTTTACAACCAGCACAAATGAATGGGACGCTCTTGCTGCGTTGTCAGGTGCAGCAGCCTCTCTGAAAGTCAAAAGAGAAACCACATGAGTAGCAAAGCTCAGACTTTCATGTTTTTTCTCTTTAAAATAAATCAATTTGAACCCCCCCCCCCCAAATCGCTTCAAATTGCTCCCGCTCTTACAGGCCTTTGCTGTGTAAAAACCATAAAAAAACATCTGTTTTTTCTTGGGCCTTGTCTCCTGCTAGGCAAAAAGGACTTCCGCACTTAAATACCACATGAGTCAGATTAAGCTGCCAGTCACTTGCCCCTCAGACACAGTGTTCGTGTCCAGTAGTAGCAGGCCCTGCCTTCAGAGGACAAACTCTCTGCCTCGTCTACTCTCAATAGAAATCCCTGGTGACTGATTTCTTTCGTACCGTGGACAGCCTGAGAAAAAAAAACAAAGAGCAAAGAAGCGTATGGGCTGGTGAGCATTTGAGCCCACCCCATGCTCCCCATTTTTTTTTTTTAGTGTGTGACAGTCATGTGAACAAGGCCATGCACATTCTTTCATGCATGAGCCCATAATTGCTGTAAAGATTCTGACAGGCACTCAGTAAGAAATCAAGATCATTTAGCGCACAGACTTTTTAGCATAAAGATTCTGCATTATTGTTCTGAAAATAATCAGATCATAAGACGCTTTCAGAGAGTCAAACAACTACCTTTGCTGTATATTTTAAGAACACTAACATAAGGGATAAAGGGTCTTTATGATCTGGTCTTGTGTCCGGCCACTTAACGGGTCCAGGAGATGCCATTGAGTATGCTCTTAGAACTAGAGAGCTCTTCTGTAGAGCCTGTAATGAAAAGTTAGACCCAATTTGGAGAGGCTTAAAAAAAACAGAGGCCCAAAAAGGGGAAAAAAAAACACACACTGAAGGGGTAAGAACATGTTTAGCTCCAGCAGCAATCGGTTTCTTAACCCACGTGCAGAGGATAACATACCATGGGACTACTGTCTGTGAAGTTTGTGTTCATAAAAGTTCGGAAAAGACACACCAGGCAGATGTTTTTGGAATTGTCTCGTGCAGAGACGGACTGCTTTTGGATTCCTGCTTAAGACCTGCAGGAGAAAAAAGAAATCTTGCTGTGTTTTGTTTTCTACAGCGATGATCCAATAAGCCTCCGGGCCATGCGATGACACTAACGGATGTTGCGCCTCTCTCTCCTCTAAACCCCCCTCCCACTGCTCCCTGGTTGTGTACTAAATTTTTTATTACATTCAAGCAGTAAGGCAAAGAGCGGCTATGCTTCCCCCCCACCCACTCTCACACACAGCACCCCTGCAAGTACTCAGTTTGAGCAACACAATGTGGAGTCGAGTAAGGGATCAGAGGTCTCTTCCTGGGCCAAACCCCCATCATCCCCCTCAGACGAGCTCACATGGTTTGAATCAATGCTGCCACTACAGCGCTTTAGTGGGTCAGTACGATAAAATAGTATCAAGCGCATTGTTTATCTGCTTTGAAAAAATGTAAGGAGTTGTGTTTTTTAAAGTCAGGAGGAATTTCTAATCTTATCTGACCTGGAAAAAAACAAGCAGTTACAATATGAGAGCGGAGGAAAGACTCCAGTGCGAAAAATAAACAATTTTGATTGCTTTTGTTGTAGCTGCCAAACATAAGAAATTCCTACTAAAATTTCTCTTTGTAATGTGTTTCTATAGTCTAGAGACAAGGAGGAAATTGGCCCTTCAGAGCCTGTGGAGATTCCTGCCTTTTACACTCCTTCAGCTGTGAAAGACAACAGAGCCATCCCTTCAAAAAAAGGCCCACCAGAGCTTTGTGCAGTGCAGCTCCTTTGAGGTAAAGAAAGGGAAGAGCCTCTGTGACACTCTGCTGTTGCAATAAAACTCTCTCTTATTGCAGCAGATAGCGTATCAATGAAGCAAAATCCCACATGGCTGTTGGTGAATTATCAACCCAGATGAACCACCTATGCCAAACACGTGCACATACAGAATATATCCAAACTAAGTCTTTGTGATTTTCAAAGCAGCATCAGAGGCTGGTTGGCTATTTTAAGACATGGCAGGAAAGCTGTCATCCACTTGGCACAGGAGCATAGAAATATTTGTTTTAGGTGGCAATTTTCAGAATTTAAATAATATTTTGATGCCTTTTCTGACAAAAACATCTAGTTAATAAGACGAATGTGTGATTTAAACATTAAACATGATGTGTTTGATGCTTGGAGCATGCATTGTTGCAAATATCCTCCAAGCCATACCTACTAAATACTGTATTATCCATTGGTCTCAAACATATTATTTTTCAGAAATGGCCTTATTTGGTATAAAACAGACAGGATTGTCTTGGGCCGAGCTGCTGAGGAACTGTGGCCTGTGGGCGAAGCGATCCAGATTACCAGAGGGATAACATTGGCAGGAAAGTTTGATCTGATTATCATCAGCGTGGCCTTGGAAAACCTTGTTTGTAGCATCTGCATAATCAAGCAATTTTTTTAATTTTATTTAAAAGCGTCCGGGAACGTGGCCTTGATCAAAGCGCTGCAGCCTCTGCGATGTTTCGGAAAAAAAACACCCAGACCATGGGCGCACGGTGAGGCAGGAAACAGAGAGCCAAAAGTGGGTCAAGTATATATAATGCAGTTATGAGGCTCAGTGATGGTGGGAGCATGCAACGCTGTTTGGCACATATTAAGGGGTCTAAATTATTCAGATAAAACAGGCTGGGAACACAACATTAAATGCCGTATAACAACGATTATTTGCGCACATATAGCCTTCAGCGCGACATAAAAACTAAATGCAACTTAACCATAAATCTGATCTGTTAAAACATACACACACACGAACATGGAGAATTTAAGTTTAGGAGAATGGGGAATGAAGTTGAAGAGGCAGGAAAGCACCTACAGTGATTGGAGCCGTTCCAGTGTTGGTTCCTGATGGACGTGCTGTAGGGATGGGGCGCTCCGGGCACCAGTCCCTTCTCTGGGATCAAACATCCTCTGCTCTGGTTGTAGTAATCCATCATTAAAAACGGGTTTGGGCTGGGATTCAGTCCCACAACGTCCACGCTCTCGTACATCATACGGAGCAGGGCGTAAATCAGGGATTATTGTCCAAAAACGAACTATTGTGGCGCACGCAGGGATTTTCAGCTCGCCACCGGAGGAGGGAGAAACGGAGGAGGCAGAACGGGGGCGAAACTGCATTAAAATCAAAGGAAAAGTGGTAGATCCGAACACAGCGGGGACATTTGAACATTTGGCATCTTATTATTGCGCTGTATTGATCGAAACGAACCCGTGGAGTCAATCGGTGTCTGATTAATCCTCATCGGCCGCGCTCAGTTCAGAAACGTTATTGTAAAACTCAGTCTGCATGGTGTCCAATGAAATAATATGCACACAAAATACACCGAAAACGACCCTGATAACTTGAGCGTAATATATCGGCCTTTCTCAAACAGAGAGCAACATTTCAGGCTATATCCACACCATAAAGACTAAATAAACCGATACAATCCCAGACAAGAGGACACAAATCCCCCAAGTCAGAGTCGAAAAAAACGGGGAAAAAATATTCAAACGGGATGAAAGCACAAATATCAGAGGAAATTCCAGCTGCAGTTCGTCCTTTGGGTTTCGCTCGGTTGTCCCGTCTGCGCCCGCAGTGGGTGGACTCCTGTCAGCCCCCGTGAATGAACCGGTCTCCCTCCGTGCGCCACACCAACCAGCGGCTTCCCCCTCGCTCTCAGCCCGCTCTCAGATATCCAGGTCCGGGTGAAGCACGCAGCAGCACCGCCTTGTTTGTGTTTGTAGAGCGAAGCCTAAATCATTTCCCACACCAAACCGAGCCGCTATCATGTTCTGCAAAAAATGTGACAAGGCACAGCAGCTGAGGGCTTTGGCTCCTCCTCCTCCACTCTGCTTTTTTTTCCCTCCTTCCCACCCTCATCAGTCTCTTTTCATGCGTGGCCCCTCCACGTTTAACCCCTTCAGGGACGTCACCATGGATCTCCCTCTGTCTAAACCAGGGCCCTGCATGGGACTGTTGGAGGGGGAGCCCCCCGCCCTCCCTCAGATTTAGGTGCGGGGGCTTTAAATAGGAATGCATCTGAGGACATGATGAAGTTATACAAGCTCAGTAATGAGTCTCTCATATCTTTACACGAGTTCATGGACATAATGAGAGCTGCACCAGACTGGATCTCTCGCTCGTTTTTCCTGGAAGCTCCGGTCCATGTTCTCTGTATTTATTCGGACTCCTCCTTCCAACTAATTTGACCCTTTCCCCCATGCTCTCATCAGTCCCTACCCTCAGATTTTCTCTCCCCCAGCCCTGTCTCCCTCATTTGCCTAATGCTATGCAGCTGAACTTTTCCTGAACCCAGAGAAGTAGGCAGCCTCACCTCCTGGTGACCCACTGGCTGACTCGGATTCGCCTTTCTGGCTCGCTCTCATCCCACATTATTCAAGGTTTCCCACCTTGTACAGTCAAGAGTAACACCATTACACTTTCCTCGAGAGCTGCCCAGAGAGGCGCCGCAGTTCAGCCGGCACACATAAAGCAACTAAAGTGGCAAAGTCATCCCAGTTACGGTAACTGACACTTAACTTTTCTCACAGTGTACAAACAGCTGGAATACAGAACAGGAAGTTGTTTTGCTTCAGAGTTGCACCACCTCTTTTAATAAAATGTTACTCCACCTTTACTCTACAACATTCCATGCAACATTGTTGCAACTTGTTACGCAAACATGCAGCTGTGTCATCATCCAGGTTTGAGTCCATGCCAAAGCTTTCTCAGCAGAACTATAGAGATGTTAGCATGCTTCCCTTTTCTTACCCACGTGTTACAAACAAAACTGCTGAAAGTATAAAGTCACTATTAACTTGGCATTCAACAAACACATCCACTCATTCTTATGTTGGGATGTTGTCAGGGAAACACTGACCTGTCATTGTCATGTGATCTGTAGTTAAGCTGATGGCTGACATTGTCTATACATACTCATTGGTAGAGGTTGAGACCATCACCCATTAGATGTTACTTTGTATGAGCATCTTCCTGATTCTTTTCCCCCCACTTTGACACAAGTAAAAGTAAACGTTCACGTCAGCTGACCCTGAAAACATCAGACATGTTTGATCATTGCTTCAGATGACCTCGACAAGGTCAACATCATTCACGGGCAGTGTCTGAACTTCATCATTTTTTCAAAGGTTAACTCCAGGCATTGTCCAGACTTGCCTTTTCATACACAGCACGGAGCAAGAGAGTGTCCACAAGGACACTTTCTCGACATCTTGAAAAGGGAAAGATATAATGGATTAAATAAGGGTTGGCTCCAGTGTGTAAGACGGGAGGACTTGTGGCTAATAATGTTTGTCTTTGCATCAATTTGACCGAATCATGTAGAAGGATTAATCCAAAAAGCAGTATTTGAGTAATCCTGCTGAGACCAATGGAACAATTACCTAATTACCTGACCTTTTCATACATTAGTCTTAATTTTCCTGATCAACTTGTATTGCAATTGTAGCTCATTTAATGAGAACAGTACTTGTGTAAGGGGATAATTCTAAGTGTTTTAAGTGTTGTTTCAAAACTAGCAACATTGAGCTGAAAAAAACCTGTACGGGTAGAAAAAGTTAAATTCATAAAACAATATATCTGCTCTAATGTGTTAAAGGTTAAAAACAAAATGGACCTACTTGTGCTGTCACCTACACCACTGCCTGAAATACCCCCCCACTCCACCCCACACACACACACACACACACACACACACACACACACACACACACACACACACACACACACACACACACACACACACACACACACACACACACACACACACACACACACACACACACACACACACTTTCTTCACACCTGAGCCACAGGCCACAGCTGGGTCTGACCAACACAGGTTTTTGAGAGGGATTATCTGCATGGAGCCTGGCAGGAGGGCTCCGCCTGCTCCGCCCCCACCAACCGTGACACTTATTTAATGCAGACCCTGGTGTGTTTACCCTTCCTGATAAGAGCTCAGTGTGCAGGCCTGGGCCGTGGTGACCCCTTAGCTTGAACTGATAGCGCAGCCACACATTCCTTGACAGGATTAGCCATCTGAGTAATGGCTGTCAGAAAATGCAAATTTTTTCCAGGCTCTGTTTTCTTCTCCAAGGGGAAGCATTCATTCTGGGGTAATACCCTGTGATAGCATAGAATAAGCGCAGTGACAGATTGTTGATCATTGTTTGTTACAGAGGAGGAGGGAAGAGAACCAGATCTAAAAAAATGACTTTTCCCAAAGATTTCCTACATTTTAGAACCCTTAAATGTTTGAGTACATCCAGGCACCTGTGATTAAATAAATGTATTGTTACACTCACAGGGAGGGAAAACTGATCACAGTGCAACAATGGGTGTTGGGTGTTGCCTCTGATACAGCCGAAAATCAACAATAATCATAAAAGAAGTATTGATCTAAATACAATCAAGGGATTTACAACAAATTATCGTGTGACAATAGCAAAAAAAAACAGTGTGGTGCTGGCAGAGGGACTGAAGTTAGTTAAAGCTAACACGATGATTATAGTGTTTTTCCACCTATGCTATATGTAAACTTTTTAATGGATCTTGGGATAAAATGTTTTGTGCAAAAATGTACTTGCCACAAAATAAATTAAGATCTACAGTGCAATCATGTAAGGGAGTGGTCACAAGTCTTAACTGAATCTTTAGGATTATAAAAGTTGAAAAAGAAATAACTAAATTTAAAGGCTTTCTATGTGATTTTTCACACTTTAAATGTAATATAAATCAAGTATATCCTCTGAAGATAACTCTGTGAGTCATGACTGTCTACAATGGGTGTAACACCCGAGTCCCACTGTCTGTGATGCTTTCAGAGTTTTCAGAGTCCTATCTTCACTTTGTTTACATCGCCAGGACGGCCGGCTGACTCCTCCCCTCATGTTTAAAAGTTGTTTAATTGAGGGACTAGAGAAAAGAAGAATAACATACTGTACTCACTGCTTAACTGTGTTTCTAGATCACGCTCATTTCAGGTAAATTTACATGCAGTGTGAAGATACGAGCATAATAAAGATCACTAGCATTAGCATGCTAACACAACAATGCAGCGTGAGTTGTTTTGGTTTCATGCTGGTGCTCAAGGGCGACATCTTTTCGATCAAAAAAATCACATTTAAAGCCTTAATGCACAAGAAAAGGCAGCTGTTCTAACTGCAGGCTGGATGTGCAGTCCACAGTCTTTAAAACGGTTGTGTGCATGCCTGCCTATGTGTACATCCTGCTCTTTTTATTTTACAAAAACTGGCTGCTCCCTCCTATGAACATGTGCGTGTTACTTTTGCTTTTTTTTGTTATTATGTCTGTGTTTGTACATAAATTTGTCATGAAGAGGAAAGACTCTTCATCAAGTTCAGGCAAACTGACTGAAGGTCCTGAATGCCACAGCGTTCATACATGAATGCTCTGCAGGAGTAGCTGGTTATTTAAGTGCTTAGACTAAAGGGATGCAATGAGTGTTAAACGTCCTTGTTTTGGAGCAACACTGGAACTGAAAGTCCATCTGAGAGTTGGAGGAGAGCAGGGGGGAAGATGTGGAGAGGGATTTTAGGAAGGGAATTCAACGAGTTTTATGGGTGAGGGCGGAGAGGAGATTGCTGCCTGGACCTTGAGGGTGTCAAACTATTTTTACTGCCCCCACTCTGCTTCTTTCTTAGTACAATCAGGGCTGTTAGGAAGCAGTAAAAAGTGCTTTCCTTACAACCCCCATAGCCCCCCAACCCCTACCCAAGGATGTCCAGGTCTGTGGGGTAAAAATATGCTGTCTACATGACAAAACCATTATCCCAATTGTATTAGAAAACATAATCCTGTCCTCCCCCACTCCACTGGCATAGTTCCAACAGCCAACATCCTTGTGCCACTCTCTTTCCAGGAACTCATCTCCCCTGGGTGCCTGTGTGTGTGCGCCATGGTCCATGTTTGTTTTAAGTCTACCTGAAACTCCACCAACCTGTCTCTGTTACCCCTTGCTGCTATTACAGTTTCTGTGTGTGTGTGTATGTGTGTGTTTGTTTGCACAGCTGGTTTTGTGCAGCACGTACAGAAAGCACCAGCCAAACCCAACAGCTGTGCTCCCCGACAGCGAGCCAACGTGTAATGAGGGCCGACCCTTCGATGTGAGAACAAGCTGCAGTTATCGACGAACACCCCACCGCATCCACCTTTCCTTTCTGTCAATCTACTACACACACACACACACACACACACACACACACACACACACACACACACACACACACACACACACACACACACACACACACACACACACACACACACACACACACACACACACACA